GACCTGCTCGACACCGCCGGCACCAATCCGTGGCTCTCGTGGGACTGGAACGAGCCGCCATGGGGAGTCTTGGACGCCGCCCCGTCTCACGGCACCGACAACATCAGCCACGCACCGCTCGTCTCCGCAGACACCGTGCCCGTCGATGCCCCCGTCGTCGCCAACATCATCGATGCCAAGCTCGATCCCGTCGAGTACCACCGGCAGACCATCTTGATCCACCTGGACCAGTCGTCTCTCGGCAGCACTGCGCCCGACAGCATGCGACACTGGCTCTCCTGTGCGCCCCTTTCCCTGTTCTTGAAGACCTATTTCACCCGCCATCATCGCCACACGCCCATCATCCATCTTCCCACCTTCAATATTGTCGACTGTCCGACTGGACTGGTCTTCGCCCTGACCCTGATCGCTGCGGCATACGTGCCCAACCTAGGTCTTCGTGCCAGGGACGTCGTCCGACTGCTGGACTGCGCTCGTACTCTTACCATGGTTTCCGACAAGGTAAGTCGTTCTCGCCATCGACCGCGCCTGCGCCTTTGACAGATACAATCCACAGAGCTTGAACAGCGGCGGTCCCGCATCCCTCGAAACACTGCAAGCCCTGGTCCTTCTGGGCATCATGGATCGTCTTATGCTGAAGCGGACGTCTGATGTGCCGTGCAGCATCGATCTAGGCAGCATCGCAAGACTCGCACGCGCCGCTCATATTTTCGAGGTTCCCAATGACGCGCCAAATACCTCCTGGCGAGAGTGGGCGACCCTGGAGTCTCGTCGCAGGTGAGAAGCCGTGCATCGGGCCAACTTTGGTGGGCAACCTGGACCTCGTCGCTAATACGCGTAGGCTGGGACTTGTACTCTTTGCATTCGATGCCTTCATCTCAGTTCTACACGACCAAACGCCGAATGTGCGTGACGACGAGCTTAATATGCGCTTTCCCAGTCCGGAACATGTGTTCATGGCAGCGTCGGAGTCCGAGTGGAGAGATGCTAACAAGCTGCATCCCCAACACGCAGCAACGACATACTCTGTCTCCCTGACACTTTCAAGCCTCTTCACCCACGCGGACATGTCTCTCCCCCTCCCGGACACGCTCATGGGAAGATTTGTGCTGATTCATGGTAAGTGGTCGTTACTCCAATCACAGCCGATCAACAGGGCCTAACAACGCACGTCTTGTATCAGGAATCTTGCAGTATGCCTGGCGAACCAAACGTGTTCTGCAGGAGAACCCACGCGCCATATCGGATGCGGCACTGCAGCCATATTTGCAAAGCAGAACCAGCGCCATCTGTAACTCGCTTCGTAAATGGCGCGCAGGCTGGCCCGAAGAACTGCTCGATTTCGAGCCCTTTTCCGAGTCTCCGTCGCTCTATCAAGACCGGGCCGAGGCATGCTGGTATCTTGCGGGCATTGTTACGCTTCCACACGTCAACATTCGTTTACCCGAGACGTCAGCCACCGACTTTTCCGGCGCATTATCAGTCCAGCAGATATTTCAATGCCTCATCTTGCTCTCGGATTCAAGCCTTCTTCACAATGTTGGACAAGATTTCGAGGCCACATATCATTTGGTTACGGAGCGTCTCTCTGCTGGAACGAATGACGGTGCCCTGGGTGCTCTGATTTATCGCGAACCAGACACAACGAGAGCGGGCTTCGAAGAATGAAACATGTAACAGCAGCGTGCTCTGACTTCGCCATGAAACTCAGATTCGGCCCCGCGCATGTACACCCGAGAAGGTTCCCAGAAGTGGATCGCCCAACTGGTTATTCACGCCAAAATCACGCAACCAAAAGCAGTGAACAATGGAGCAGGTCCAGGCTTGGTACCAAGGCCAGAATCGAGTGGGAGGTGGCTTGATGGATCTGGCGAGGGAGCTGAAACGCGCTTCGCTGCGATCAGCAATTCCATCACTCCAGCGCATGATGTTGATCACGGAATGATCAAATCACCTGGGCCAGGAACCCGGACAAATCAGGAACATGATTCAATAATCAGAATCAAATCAAGGTATTCAATCAGTATCCGAAAGAGCAAGTCTTGGCATCAGGCCTGAGCCACATTCTAGGCACGGGAACGGATCTGGATCTCAAATTGCCTGCGCAAGGCAATTTCTCTTTGGACGCTCCGATCTCTGGGTGAATTGCTGCCAAACTAGGCCCTTTGTTGAGCTTGCAGTAAGCGCCAGGCGCCTAGGAACAACCCAAGCCGTAGAAATACGCCCCAGCCGAACTGAACTTGATGACTTCTGATCAGCCTGATTATTCAGCATCTCGGAATGAAACTTGAATCCGAATTCAGGTGTTATTCAGTCAGTTATCGAATTCTATGCACCGCATACGCCTTGAAGGAGAAAAAGCATACTGGATCTCAGGTATCAACAGTGATTCAATGTCCAAGATCGGCAATTGAGTACGGCCGAGTTCCTGTTCAATTCAGGGTTCAATCTCAAGTGACTTCAAATGAATTATTTAGCACTCGGAATCCAGTATATCAGGTTGCTCGACTTCTCAGAATGCCCCTGCTGGCTGCTGTTTTGACGTGCAGAGCGCGAGAGAGACAAACGTGCAGGTTATCCAAGGTTGCTCTATGCCGACTCATACTCGTACAATGGTCAAAGTCGCCCTCGCATCGTTAGGTCGACGAGAGTCTTCAAATCCGAACCTGGTGTGTGAAGCATCTTGAGAATGCCCCGAGACACTACCTCTGTCATGGCAATGCGTGAGGTGATGAGAAACTCCGGATTCATCAGACCTGTTGTAGTCAGCATGTGTCCAAGTGTTGAGGGATCATTCACGCACCTGATGCGATGGCTTCGATAACTTCGTCGAAGTCTTCTCTGGTGTACACCGATGTTCCCATATATTGCTTCTCGCTGAGCAAGAAGGAGTTGGGCATGATTGTCGCCGAGCTTCCCCACACAGCGACATTCACTACCGTGCCCCCAACACAGAGAGCGGCGACGCACTGGTCCAGGGTCACTTGCTTTCCTGCAGTATCAAATGCCACGTGAACTCCACTGCTCTCGCTGCAAAGTTTTGCACAAGCCCTCTCAACGTTGACACGCAAAGCATCGACGAAGTGGTGTGCACCAGCTGTGATTGCAGCATTCCGACGCTCGGAGTTCGTGTCAGCAACGATGATGTTGCGTACGCGGCGGGCTTTCAGTGCTTGCACAATGCAGAGTCCGATAGGTCCCGCCCCGACCACCAGGACAGAGGAGGTGTCTTTTGTGACGCTGCGCCGCACCGCGTGCCAAGCTACAGATAATGGCTCTACGAGCGCTGCAACGAAACATTATTAACGTGTCAAGTCCTCCACTCATAATTTTAATACAAACGTACCTGCGACAGCCAGTGTAACCCCGGCCGGCAATTTCCTTGCATTCGATGCATCCACGACCAGATATTCGGCAAGACCGCCATCAGCGCCTGTTCGAACCCCAGCGTCAGTCTCTCAGCTCGGCGTAATGTTTTGACAGCATCGTACTGAGACCGTAGAAGCCTTGTTGGGCACAACAGTTCGGACGGTCGAGCTGACATGCGTAGCAAGTGCCGTCTGAGATGATGGGCTGAATCGCCACTCGATCACCAGCCTGAACATGGCTGACACCTGCTCCGACCTCATCTACCACGCCACTGATCTCATGGCCGAGCGTCAATGGAACAGACCGTCCGGTGAGAGCATGCTCGCTTTCGGGAATCAGCGTGGCGCCTCTGCTGTACTCATGCACATCTATACACGGTCAGCATCGCGTTCGTGCACTGCACGGGCTCTCATCCGTGATGGATTCCTACCTGTGCCGCAGATACCAACGAAAGCGGGTCGTATGCGCACCTGTCCCTCTCTCGTGACAGGAACGTCGACGTCATCCACGATGCGGACATCCTCCTTTCCATAAAATCGCACAGCCCTCATCTCTGCTCTTTCGAACAGATGGCAGAGACTGTCGAACAAAGACACGACAAAAGTTCAAGGGTTCAAGGGAGGCAGCTCCGTGCCCGAGAATGCATGCCGAGATGGGCATTGCATTGGCCAATCGCTCCACCCCGTGGGGAAACGCCGAAGCTCCCACACCCCATCGCTGCCCGCCCCGGAATTTGTCACAGTAGCTGCACGTGCTTGGTCAACTCTTGAGTATACTCGTGGTCGTTGAGGCTCGAGACAGCGACACTACTAGAGCACTTTCATTCGACATGGCGACCACCTCAAGCGAAACGACCACGGATGTGGTCATTATTGGTGCTGGAATTTCTGGCATGACCTTGGCCATTGACATGATGCGACTTGGGAATGGCGATAACTTTGTTATTATCGAGAAAGGTCGTCGCGTTGGAGGTACTTGGAGCGACAACGAATATCCAGGATGCTGTTGCGATGTATGGTCGCACCTTTATTCTCTCTCCTTCTCGCCAAATCCCGACTGGACGCGAGAATACCCTACACAACCAGAAATCCATCGGTATCTGACAGGTGTTGCACACAAATATGATCTCGAACGTCACATCCGTTTCAACACCGAGGTGAAGGGGTGCAAGTTCGATCCCGTCACCGGCATCTGGACGACGACTGTGCGACGGGGAGACGACGGCGGCGAAGCGACACTTCACTCGCGGTTCGTCGTCTCTGCCATGGGCCAGCTCAACAATCCGCAGTACCCTAAAATCACAGGCATGGACGATTTTGCCGGACGTATCATGCACTCCGCTCGATGGGACAAATCTTTCGATTTGCGTGGCAAAAAAGTCGCAGTGATAGGTAACGGTAAGCACTCCCCTAATCGTTGATACGTCCAACAGATGCAGAATTCTGATCAAAGGTTCAGGTGCAACTGCCATTCAGATCGTGCCTGAGCTTGCAAAAATTGCCGAATCAGTCGTAGTCTTTCAGCGGTCGCCGAACTGGATCACGCCTCGTTACGACTCAACGATTCCGGCCTGGCGTCAGTTCATGTATCGTTATCTGCCATATGCGCGTCGTCACTATCGTTCAAGTCTGATGGACATCCGTGAGGACTACTGGAATGTTTTAGTTGATACAGATGGTGAAGCACATCAGGGATTGAAGGCAATGGCCACAGAGCTGCTTTCCACGCAGCTTCCGGGGGAAAATCGCGCAGAACTGCGCCAGGTGCTTACTCCCAACTACCCGCCTGGTTGCAAGCGAATCCTCATTAGCGACGACTACTATCCGGCTCTTGGTAAACCTCATGTCACACTCGAAACTGCTCCGATCCTAGAAATCACAGAAGAGGCTGTCCGCGTATCGTCAGGTTGGGACTCGAGAAAAGGACAGCACCAGCCGCAAGATCATGTTGTCGATGCCATCATATGCGCGACTGGTTTCCAAGCTAAACAGTTCCTTTCACCGTTACACATCGAAGTCGCTGGTCAAGAAACTCTTGAGCAAAAGTGGAGCGGTGGAGCTTATGCGTACAAGGGAATGACTGTCCCCGATTTGCCAAATTTTGCCATCATGTATGGACCAAACACAAATTTGGTATGTATCTCACTCGGCCTGGAATTGTCGAGTTCAGCACTGACGCTAGATCACTCAGGGACACAACAGCATTATACTGATGATCGAGGCCCAGTCAGCCTACATCAATCGTCTCATAGAGGCTGTTCGCACGAATGCGAAGGACAGTAGTCGAGGATATCTACGCATCTCTCCTCGTGAGTCCGCGACCAAGAACTGGAACAACAAGGTACAAGCCTCACTCAGCAAAAGTACATTGGCCAGCGACCAATGCAGTTCGTGGTACAAGTCTGACACGGGATTAATTACTACGAATTGGTCGGAGAACGCCATCGAGTATCAACGCGACGTCAGCTCCATTGACTGGGAGGACTATCAGCTACAAGGACCCGGCGCCGCGGAGCTTCGTAGTAAAGGTCGCATCAGCTGGACAAGGGTCGTGGAAGAAAGCCAGCCTTGGGTTACGAGCTGGAGCAAGGCTGCGGCTGTGAGCGTCGGTTTGGGCATACTCGCGGTTGCGGTCTCGCCTCTTCGCAAGAGCATTGTTCGTTGATGCGAAGCGTAGCTCTCGAGGGCTTGGGCAGTGTCATAGTAAACAGAGTGATGCATGGGATTGGTTGCAAGGAGCACATGGTCTTCAAGCGGCTGCAGCCACTCCAGTAGCTTTGTAAAGAGTAGCAATGAATAGAAACGATGTCACCAATAGACGTAGAGCGCTCCAGCTGTCGCCCGAATAAATCATGAGCGTCGATGCATAGCTACAGTCTCGTAAGTGGTTGCAAAATAGTCCTTAGCTGAGTTCAATTGCTCAAGAGGCAGTGTTCGAGTAAACATCGCAGACGCAGTCTCATATGAGAGTCTTCGAAAACTTCTGTCTCATAAATTGTTCTACCTTAACAGACGCGAGCGTCCTACTTCCAGACAGCGCTTATAAATTCTTCAATGTCTTGTAACAAGACTTGTGGCCCTTCCATAGCCGCAAAATGCCCTCCTTTCGTGTGCTGCTTGTGCCAAACCAGATTGCCCGTAGTGGCCACCCATGCTTTTGGAATGGGCGCAATCTCTTTCGGAAACCACGAATAGCCTAGAGGCTTAGAGACATGGTGTTTGAGAGGAATGGCTTCGGGAGTCGGGCCAAAGAATTGGCGGTAGGGATAGATGGCTCGAGGAAATGTTTCCGTGAACCAGTATAGAGAGACGCTGTCCAGAATGTCGTTCAAGCTGAGAGGCTCATCTACCCATTCTAAGAACTTTTCTCCGATCCTATAGGTGACGAGGTCAGTCTCTATCGTAGCGTGATAGTGTCATTAGAGTTTATTACCAGATGAGCAACGCCAGTGGCGATGTCGAAAGAAGTAGACCTATTGTCGCAGGTCGCTGTCCGTGCTCTCGAGCGTAAGCATCGCCTTGCGCCCCAAATCCACCTGCGCGCTCCAGGCCTTGCAGCTCAAGCGGATGGATCTTATCGGGGGAAACACCTTCAGGAGGGGGCATCAATGCAAAATTGACTGCGAAATCCGCCAGTGTTAGTGAATGAGCATGAAAAATAAGGGAATTTTGCTTTCTTACTGTGCACCGCTTTGCACCCCTCATATGTAGCACCCAGAATCCGGGCAACAAAACTTCCAATGTCTCCGCCTTGGGCTACGTAGCCGCCACCGAACCCAAGCCCAACCATGAGAGCGTTGACTAATTCAGCCATGGATTCGCAGTTTGATTCCTTCTGCAGCGATGGTCCAGTAGTGAAGCCATAGCCCGGCAGCGAGGGGACCAAGAACGTATAAGGGAAATCGCTTGCATCGTACTTGGCACGAGCGGCCTCGAGCACACCCAGGAACTCCAGTGGACTTCCCGGCCATCCATGGAGCAACACCACGGGGATCGCATTCGCCTTCGTGGAACGCAGTGCGATGAAATGCATATCAACTTCGTCCCCATCTGCGCCGGCGACCGTGGCCTTGAAGTTCTCAAACGAGTTGATCCGGGCTTCAGTCTTGCGCCTACTATGTTGTGAGTCGAACGAGTTGTACAGATCACCTGCTATCTAGCGCCGATGATGATGCATACCAATCGTATTTGGACAGCCATGTCTCTCGCGCGTTCTCTACCCAGGCTCGTGAGAGCCCATACGTCTGGCTCGGTTTTGTAGCATTCTCAAATGTGGCAGGGCCGATTTTGGATAAGCTTAACAACTGCTTGAAATCGGAAATTGCTTCGTCTGAGACGGAGACCTGGAACGGTCGGACGTCGAGGCTGCCGGAAAAGGTCGCCATGATGTTGCGGAGTAGTTGCGGTCCAAGATTTCTCTTGGTTCAATGATATGAAGGCAGCAGGATGTAAACACTGCCCCGCAATTTCTCGCCGAAGAAGCTCTAGATTGGAATTTTGGTACTGAAAAGCTTCGGTTGGTGGGGAGTGGTGGGGATTCTCCATCGCACATGCCGGAACAGCTAGACCACGTGTTGGAAGGCTCTCGAGGCATGATGACAATCCGCTAGTCTTGGTATTTTCGATGCTATATGCGGTCGTGATCCTGAGCACTCAAATGCAGTAAAAACAATTCGAAACAGTAAATCCTAAGGCGAAAACATGGCCGCCAGCACTCTGAACGGCACAGCGCGCAGCCTCGGTCGTCTTCGCGACAAGATTGCAATCGTTACAGGGGGTTCCAGTGGCATCGGTCGCGCAATAGCTCTAGCCTATGCTGCGGAAGGAGCTCGCATCGTTGTAGCTGACCGCGATGTCCAATCCAAAGCCATATCCGAAATCGAAGTGTCGACTGCAGACATCGTACGTAGGGAGCATGGGCAGGAAGTGCTATTCCACCAGACTGATGTCAGTTCTTCGCAAAGCGTCGACGGCTTGATGTCACGCACGGTAGAGAAGTACGGTCGTTTGGACATGTACGGTTCTCTCCGCCGCATAAAAATGAGGTCGACTTCAATGTGCTGACTGAGATTGCAGACTTGTAAATGCGGCAGGAGTCGCGCCTGAGATTCACAACCCACAGCCCATCTGGAGCTTACCAGAAGCTACATGGAACATGACAATGGGAGTCAACGCGACAGGCATCCTCAACACATGCCGCGCTGCGACTGCTCAGATGATGTCCCAGCCAGCTCGAGCTGATGGTGATCGAGGCTGGATCGTCAACATCTCAAGCATTTACGGACAAACAGCAGTCCCAGGCAACGGTGAGGATTGATCGTACCACCATGCAGGATACTCATATCTGACCAACATGTGTCATCATCAGTCGCCTATTGTTCATCCAAGCATGCTGTGCTCGGCTTAACGAAAGCCGCTGCTCTAGACTGCGCCCCTCACAACATTCGAATCAACGCCATCTGTCCTGGATGTGGGTCTTCACTCTTCTTTCCTTCTCTCGCACGCGTCACAGATGTATAGCTAATATTGTTGAAAAGTTACATCGACCGCCCTGACCACGTCGTTGGCAGCAGACCCAACGTATCTGCAGCAGATCAAGTCTACACAGCCTCTCAAAGGTGTAGGCTCTGCCCAAGACGTTGCGAGAATCGCGGTCGTGCTCGCGAGTGAGGATGCTGGTTGGATGACAGGTACTGCTGTAGCGGTTGATGGTGGCTTCCTTTGCCAATGATGATACTGTACAACCGAGCGAAGCTTTGCTACCTTAAAATCGTATGGCGATACCAGGAAGTGGCTTACGATAGAAAGGTCATTGAACCTACTGCCTTTGTCGGAACAGACCAAAATCTCAAAAGCGTAGAATGAGAACAAGACGCGAAATTTGCTGGTAGATCAATCAACTCAAATCCTTGCTGGCGCCTAGGGCTAGGCTAGGAGTTGACATCTTCTCTGCAAACAACCGTTGCAACACGGATGTACTACCAGATACTCCCTATCGACGGACTGTTTCGGTACGAAACGTCCCTGTAGATACGCTGCTACATTGCTACAGCTCTAGCATTTATTCTGTCTACATTGTCTGGAGTATTGGTGGCGCATTACATCTAAAGTTCACTTCTTAGCGATTCCGCTATGCTTTGAGAAAAGCAGTACTTTCTGTGGGGTGGTGATTCTAGGCGCTTCGATACTCCCTACACGACTTACCCTCACGTTCAATGCAGTTTGTAGTCTCACAGACTGCCGCTCATGGATGACTTGCAGTCCTGATCGGCATATAGACCAGGCAGAAGAATCTTGTGATGGTCCGGGCAACCACCACCTCCGCAAAACGCCTCGCAATCCGCCACTTGGAGTCCCGGCAACACCCCACAACCCGGCATATAGTGCTTCAGGGACCATGCGAGATCAGGACAACTAACGCAGATCTTGCTTTGCATCTGCGTTGATCACGCGTCCAATCTGCACGCCATGGAGAACTTGTCCCATGCAGAGGGCGAGAGGGCACGCCAGGCTGCGCAAGCGGCTACTGGGGTCGAATTCTATCCAGGCACGGAATTGATGACTGATGGTAAGCAGACGACTTCCATTCAATGCTTGGGTAGCTGGCTAATCAAGTCGATACAGCGGGCAGTATTCACCTCGAACATACCAACAAGCAGCAAGCCCTGGTGCCCCAACCAAGCAATGATCCGTCGGATCCGGTCAACTGGAGTCGCACGTGGAAATGGCTTACCATGAGCTCCATGGCGCTTTCGACATTCAACTGGGTCTTCAGTCCGCTATCACTCGCTCCTCAGGTTCCATACTATATAGAAGCGTTTGACACGACCTTGCCCGCGGTCATCAACTTTATCGGTGTCTCAATCCTCGTTCTTGGCTTTACCAACTTCATATGGATCCCAATTGCTCGAGGCTTGGGACGACGACCTATGGCACTAGTAACGACTCTGATCACCACGGTCTCATGCATTTGGCGTGCCAAAGCTACCACCTACAATTCTTTTCTCGGGGCTGCAATCCTCTGTGGCATTGGCGCCTCGCCCGGTGAAACGCTGGGGCCCGTCATTATTACCGATGTCATGTTTCTTCACGAGCGGGGCTTCTGGATGGGACTTTACCAATGGGCCTTCTGGAGTGGTCTGATGGTGAGCTTGATGCCTCGTACCCAACGCGGATGATGCTGATACTCGTAGATCGGACCCATCATCGCTGGAGTTTCTGCCGACAGACACGGCTGGCGAAGCTTCTGGTGGATCTCGACGGCCATTTCAGTCTTCACGCAGGTCTGGATCTTGTTTTTCTTGCCCGAAACCAAACGTGACCGACGCCCGCTCGCCGTCAACGACACAATCGCCCAAGTCGATACAAACAGCATCCGGGCAAAAACCGACTCCACGATCGACGCAAAGGCTGATCACATTAGTGTTGTGAAAGAAGAACGATCAGAAGACACATCCGGCCCAAGAGTTCAACCTGTCGGAAAACCTAACAAACGACAGTTTCTGCCCATTGCAGGATGGAGCGTGCACGAGCCTATCATCGGAGCAATCATACTGCCACTCAAATTGGCACGCTTCCCGATCGTCCTCTGGGGATCGCTGCAGTTCACCTTCTCAGCATCCTGCTTCTTGATGATCAACATCACTCAGTCTCAAGCGCTTGGATCACCGCCATACAACTTTAGTCCGACCGCGGTCGGTTACACGAATTTGGCACTGTTCGTTGGCACGTCGATTTCACTGCTCACCGCCGGGCCTTTGAGTGATGTCGTATCTCGTCGCGCCACGATTAAGAACAATGGCGTCCGCGAGCCAGAGATGCGTCTGTTAACGCTTATTCCTTTCGTGGTATGCTTCCTCGTGGGCTGCATAATTCTCAGCGTTGGTTGGGAATATGGCTGGCCTTGGGAAGTTGTAGTTATCGTCGGATTCACGCTCGTGGGCGTCCAGGTCGCAGCCATCTCGGGCATTGCAGTCAATTATGTGGTATGTGTGCACTTTGCTTCGTCTCTTTGCGCTCTAGCTGACGTGTTCTGTGACAGGTTGATTGCTACAAGCCTGCTGCTGGCGAGTTCCTCGTTAGTGCGACTGTGTTCAAGAATGTCTGGGGCTATGGTATGACCAAGTTCATGAATGATTGGGTTGTACAAATTGGGTACCTTGGGCCACTCTTGACTATCACCGCCTTGAACTTTGCTCTGCTACTCTTTGGCGCAGTGCCACTCTATTTCTTTGGCAAGAAGTTGCGAAAGATGTCCAGCAAGAGTTCTGTACATGACGTTGCTTGATGCATAGAGAAAACCGTGGTCAGCCTCGAATATAGTCCCTTCTTCATTCTCGCTCTTCTCATCTATGGACGAAATTCACGATCCGATCAAACACTGCATCTCGCCATGACTTCGTGCTTGAGGCAGTTGGAAGCCATGCAGTAAATACTGAGCATAACGCGGCGAACAAGTAGCCGTGGCCACCTCTGAACATAACTACCTCTGAGCGCAAGCGCCTCACCAGATTGGCTCTCGATACATGAAAAGCTTTGTTGACTTACTTAGCGACTTGCGGTTGCACTCAGAGACATTTGCATTCAGAAATAGCCACGGTCACCCACCGTTTCCTGACGCAGCTTGCATTGGAAAATCTCCGTCTCCGATTAGATGCGAGATCGATCTGTCGATGGGGAGCGAACGACATTGGAGGACTAAGCTCCATAGACTTTAACGCGGGTAGACGTAGAGTGTTCAACGAGTGGCGACATTGGCCGACGTGCTTCAACTCAAGACACAAGTTGCAATTTTCTTTGTTCGTGCTGCCATCGCGAGACGGTAATGGTCAGTTGTCAGCAATTCCAATCACAGAGAAGAACCGGTTGATTCGATTATAGCAAGAAGTTAAATTCCCCGACAGCGCAACACAAATACAGTGACAGTGTGATTGGATGGTTCATCAGAGGGGTCGCAGCCGTCAGAAAATTCTTATGTGCGCTGTTGCGCTGTTCATTCCATGTCAAATATGTACAAGCTGACAGATCGCGAGGACTGCTCGACAATCTCCCATTTCATTTCAACTTCTCAAGAGTGACCTTTTTAATAAGTTCCCTTCGCCGACAGACGAGCAGCACCTGGGAATTGGTTGAACTGATCATCTTCGATCTGCTGCAACTGTGGGCATCCACCAATCGCAGCGATGGCATTATTGGTTGCGCCGCGGATAAGTGCCAATGGTCGACCGAGAGTGCTGAACAGTGGCTTCAAAGTGTCTGGCGCAGCCTGAGCAGCGAACTGCATGGCGAAGCACCACAGGTTGTTTCCCTCACGCAGGTTTTGAGCGTTGAAAATGCCACCTGAAAGATCTCCGACGTCAACGCCAGTGAAGCTATTCACCTTGCCAGTGTTGCCACCAACGGACAAAAAGCTTGGGTTGAATTGATCGAAGTAAAGTCCATCGGCTACTGCAGCGGCTACACCGTAGTCATTGGCTGGTCGGCGATACCCTGGGATAACATATTAGGTCTCTGTGTGTAAGGCGTAGCTCGTTAGGACTTACAGTTCTCAGGGATGCGCTCGGTGCCTGGGTTGAACACCAAAGCATCATCGGGCCCAGTGTATCCGAAGAAGGTCTTCAAGGTCTCCTTGTCCAAAACACCCTCCTGTGGATTGGCACCAGTGTGGTTGGCCATGAGACGATAGATGAAGGAGTAAGCTGCTGGGAGCACAGCAAGACCACTGAAAGGCTAGGATGATAGTCAGTCATGATCGTTGCTGCCGGTCAATGGTAGGATAAACTTACTCCATTGAAGAAATATGGGTTGGTAGCGATCGAATTCTCGAAGCGGTTGTTACGATGTTGACCAAGTACATCCAAGTTGTAGTTAGGATTTGCAGCATTCTTTTGTATGTCGTACAGCGCCTGGAAGTTTTCGGGCTGAGATACGAAGTTGTTGCCCCTGTATTGGTCAGTAACCGCTCATGTTGCACTAGGTCAGGTACGACGACTCACTCAACATAAAGATCCCCTCGAGTCGGTGAGGCGTCGCCCTCATATCTAATCAAAACAAGTTAGCCATGTTACCTTGTCTCAATGGTATCCGTGTCGGCGAGTTTTGAACTCACTTATTGTGCGAGCCCGACAAGCCCTGGGGCGCGCCGATGAGACCAGTGCCACCGAGAAGACCACCGATAAGCCCTGCTGGTGGCGGACCACCGATCGACCAGGACAGAAGATCTCCATCAAAAACTGCACCGTACACCGCCAAGAATTGGTTGAGGGTCGGTGCAACGCCCTGCAGATGCCTTGTTAGCAGGGCCCGCCAGGATCGGCTGATATCACTTACGAAAACGTCCGTCACTGCTTGGAAGTCTGCAATCGAGCCTACACCAGATCGTGGGAGGTAGCCGTGGTTGGCCTAAATCACGTTAGGGCGCGGACGTTGGTGAATTGGGAAGCATGTACATACCAAAGCATTCAACCCGGGGCATGGACCACGGATTTCACCAGCCGCGAAGTTCGCACGTCGATACGCATGCTCACCATCGACAGGAATCGGCTTCGATGGATCGATGGCCCGTTTTGACAGTGTCATGCTATCTAGCATAGCACTTGCTTCAGCATCGGACATAGCAGGAAATGCATGGGCGGCGCCAGCACCCAGTAGGGTCAGAGCCAGAGACGATTTCATCGTGGCAAGGGTCGAGGTCGTCGATGTACAATACGATTGAATCAATACACAGTGCTGAGTTCGACAGACACCCCAGTGCCACGATTGCTGTTATATATCTAACCTTGCTCTGCTCTCAAGCCACCGATTCAGTGGGGCAGCGCCGCTGGGATGGACACGATCAGCAATTAGTCCCTAGTAGCCTGCGTTGTTTGTATTCGCCACATAATCAGTAGCTACATGATTGGAAGAAAGTCGTGCATTACCAATAGCGACATTGTTAGTGGCAAACAGGGCTCATCACACATGTGGCCGCGAGTTCCTTCCCCGCAGTGGCTGCAAACCTTGAAAGTGCTCTGTCAACAGGGCCGAGAATATATATAGACGATCGCCGCAGAAAAAGCTGTAATGAGAGCATGCGCCGGGGAATCCCCACTGCCATCGCTTGGATGATAGGTTCATTCTCAGAAACTGGGGCTGCACAGCGACCTCGGGTTGTATAGTGTTGGTGGCGGTGTCGCACACTACTGCACCCTCTGTTGCCACCTCCGCAATCATTTCAACGAGTTGCGGATGTCAGATGGCCCTGAGATTAATTGGAGTGGGAACGCCCCTATCAGTTCTCGCGCTGGACCGAGATGTGCTTGTATATCGAGTTTGCCGTACATGAATGCCGCTCGATTGGAACGAAGTGGCTTCGTATAATACTGTGGTGCAGGTTTGGTCAACTAGCTAAACATGAGGCTATGCCTATACTGTCTAGTCAAAGAAAACGGTAATCGAACGCCAGAATAATAGGACTTGCATAGACAACGCAACCTGGACTCTCGTATTGCCTGCTACGTTTCAACCCGAATTCCTGTTCGCCTATCGCGAATGCATTAACGGCCGCTAGGTTCGTGAATACAAAGGAGAAAGCCGACTTATCTGCCGCTGCTAAAGTTGATCTAACTATAGCTTTTCGTAGCAATTGCCTCTTAAAATTTGTCGGGTCCCCGAGTTGTTATATACGTTTCTTGAGGCGTGTCGCCTAGTTCCCTATCTAGTAGATATAATGCGTAGGTAGACAATATATTCGGGAAGGACTAGATATAAGCTCTTTCTTTTCTTCGGGCCCTATATCGTCTCCTTCGTTTAAGATAGCGAATTAGAGTCCTTCGGATAGAGTTTATATTCTGCTACCTACTACCTCTTATATAGAACGGTTATAGTAGTTATTATTTCTACTCGATAGTACGGATTCTAATTGCGCTATATTCGCTTTAGAGCTAGAATAGAGTCGAGCTCTAGATATAAATAGTTTCTAATAAGAAACGAGACTAGTAAAGTAGGAGCTTATAAAGTAAGCGCTAGAGCTATATTACGACTAAGGCTATAAACTATAGGTTAAGTTAATAGTTATTAGAGAAAAGCGGACTAACTCTAATATTATTAGAAATAGAAAATATCTAGAAAGCTCTAATAATTAGCTTTAAAGAGCGTCTTAGTACTATAGAGTTATAAGTCCTATCTAAGTATTAATTATACTCTATCGACGTAGCTACTATATACTACTAATACGACTATCTTAGACTTAAATAAACTTAGATAATTTATAAGAACTTAAATATTAACTCGGTTTCCTTAATTATATTTCCTATTAAATTTAGAGGTCTAACCTATCTAGATATAGTAGAATAAGGC